GTCTGCTGCAATTTATCTTGCAGATCAAACTCTGTGCCACATGAATCATGGAACATAATTTAATTATTGTGTAATCTGATATAATGAAATGACAGAAATAATAAGTTACTGTTCAGTGTTCTGCAAGCTGAAATTATTTCTGGACATTTGGCTCTTACCAGCCTGTCTTTTAGGGCTGAAGGCTGTGGTGAAACTTAGGAGATCCCGTAAAGTTCACATACATGGGGAAAACCAGAAGGTGAAGTACGTTTGCTTGCTTTGTTGCTGCCCAGAAGGCTTCAAGTGCTGGCAACCCTGCAGCCTTCACTAGCCCTTTAAAAAACTTATTGCTGTGTGTTCTCATAAACTTATACTACAAACATATGGCACAAGATGTTGCTTTCGCTAGGTGAATACTTAAGTGTTCTCAGACTCGACCTGTACAGAAGTTATTCAAAAAACTCCCAAATGAGCAATATAACAGCCCTTCAGTAAATAATGCCTGCAGCTTTTCATAAGGATGGTAATCTATGGAACACTGAAATGCATAATCCTTTTAATGTAAAGTTTGATGCTTGCAGAAAACAGAAACAGTATTTTTTTTAAGATTGTGTTAAGTAAAGATTTTGCGCTATGCTTAAAACTAGGGAGGTGACATTTCACAAATGTTAAGATCTCTTGGAGTTGGATGACAAACCTTTCCCGTGTAGCTTGGTATGTAGAATCTGTGATTGTTTTAAGTGTATTGTAGGGTATTATGATTACCCTTGAGGAAAGAGCTGCACTAGCATTGCATTTCCAAGTACAAGTCAGGAAAGGTCGTTTGTCAGATAAAAAGATACTTTCAGTGTGGGACAGTGAAAAGAGAAAAATATGAAGGTAGAGGAAAAAGCTGATCGTTTGCCTGTTTTGTTAATCTTTATAGTCTCAGTACTAGTTGGTGAAAATGCAGGATATTTAAATGACCAGGATTTTGATTTGTTATAGCACACTTACAAGTACCCTCTTGCAAGCAAGTAAAATCGCAAATAAATTTGTAAACGAATTAAAAATCAGTAGAAACACAGCTGAACTCTGTCATCTTAAATTATTTTCCACTCAACAGTTTAAAAGAATCCTGTTTCTTTTGAAGTCTGTTTCCAGTTTTATCATTTATTCTAGTGGGTGAAAGTGTAATAATTACAGGGCCAAATTTTGTTCTGCTCTCAGTGTAAGCTGCATTAATTCTGTTGAAGTCTTCACATTGAGATTTCTTGGCTTGCAATTAGAGTAACAAATATTGATGTCTGTCAGGTCTTTCTGGCACGCAGCCTCCTTACGTATAGATCTGAGTGAGTTGGTACTTCTGTTTTTCCTCTTTTTGGAGCACTAGTGTTCATGTTTTGCAAAAGAATTACAGTCTGGTGAGAATTGATTGCCTTTTATTAGACTTTTTGTTAGAATGCTGTTGCGCTGTCCGGTTCCCTTGAGAATAAAAGACTGTAATTGATAATTGATTGCAATTGAGTGAGCAACATGTCCTACATGGCTATGACCATCATGTCCCCCACAAGGTTATCTAAATGCTCTTCTGAAATACTTTTAAGTGCAGTTTAGCTTAGTAAGGGTAGAAACTTGTAAGCATTTAAAAAAACTCACCCTAATCAACCAAAACAAAACCTACTGAGCTCTGGACACCTCAGTTTTAGAGGTCTCATTCATTATTTGATACACTCCAAGTGCTGTTGTAATGCATGTTTTTTCCATACGACTGGTGGTAGCATTAAAGACTGGTGCCATACCAAATTCACTTGCTGTCTGTCATTTTAAAATAATTCCCAGTTCCTCAAAGTGAGCAGAATATGCACTATAGCACATGATGCGTAGCTGTATAATATGTAGGATCATTCTTGTACAGGAAAGGTGTGGCTGTTTGTTGCATTTAGTAGTAGTAGGCAGCTGTCGATCATTCTGGATCGTGGTGTATGCATGAAAGGTCACCCGGACTTTCGATGCGTAGATACGGAGCAGTGGAGGCTGCCCAGACCTTCCATCCCCACTTTAGACCATTGCGACCGTATCCAAAGGCCAGACTGAGTCCGTATGTTCAGTGCCTCGATAGCTGCAGTTATACGTGCATCTGGGAATCGAACCCTGATCCCACATGGCAGACAAGGTTTCCACCACGTGAAAAGAACAAGATGTTAGCTTTTTCAAGCATGTCGTAATAACATTAAGCAAGTCATACCCATGCTTCATTTTTGAGCTAGTACAGGACTTTGAGTATGTAAGGGAAGCTGTGCAAACTGGAAGGGGAACTCCCTCCTTTCCTCTTTCATTCCAGGTCAGGCACTTCCCCTTTTTGCCTTGAAAGTGCTCCAAAAGACTAATATGGCCTGTAAAGTCAATATTTGCCGTCTCCACTCATGTTGATTCTTCAAGTCTCTCTGATTGTAATGCCATTTTTAGGTTTTCTGCTTTCCAGTTTCTGTACTGGCCTACAAATGTACAGTGTCAATTCAGAAACAAGGTGTGCAATTTTGTGGCAACATGGAAAACTATTTAATGCATCTTAAGCTGTCCTTCAGTGAAATCTAATAGCTGGAAGTAAGATGGACCAGTTCTCCATGGGTCGCCTGAAAGTGTTCCAGGGACTCGCAGTAGTCCACAGATCGTTTGGGAGCATGTACCTTAACGGTAAACCCGTGGCCTTCTTGCTCCTAGGTCAGGGGTGGGCAAAACGCAGCCCAGGGGCTGGATGCAGCCTGCCAGGCCACTCTGTCCAGCCCACGGGGCCCCTAAAAAATTAAGAAAATTAACGTTTATCTGCCCTGGGCTGCCTGTCATGCGGCCCTTGGTGGCTTGCCAAAACTCAGTAAGCGGCCCTCTGCCCTAAATAACTGCCCACCCCTGTCCTAGGTCTTTTATTCATGCTTTTATAGCTGAATTGGTGTACATTACAGCTTCAAGCTGAAACTGGTTTAGTGCGATGGCTTGTGCCTCATCTTTAAGCTGCGCACGCCAGAGGTATGTAAGGAAATGGAAAGGGTGTAACTGTTAACATGGAGCTGTTAAGGATCATGCATGAAATGGAGGATATTTCTACATTAATTTTTAAGGCCCGGTGACCTCTAATGTATCTGTTCACGCTGGTAGGCACAAAGGAGTGTACTGATAGCTGCGTTTGAAGACAACAGTAGCTTTGTTTGCATTTCTGAAGGCACAGTTTCAGGTGTTAAGATTAGGCAACTAACGTTGTTGTTGTTATCGTAAATATGATTAATTCATTTTAATATTATGATTATTAATATTATATTGGGGAAATATTTGTAGAAGGCAACATCTTAACTATTATGCTGACTTGCTTTACTGCTATCAAAGGCTATTCTCTTTTTTAAATGTTTTTTTACAAAGTAAAAGGAGGACTTCAGGCAATTGCTGCTGAGCAGAGTCTGCCAGCCAAACCCTAAGCAACACAAGATCATTTTGTTCTGTTGTGTGTGACAGTAATAGTTCCTCATCAGCCAGACTTAATACTCTTTTCTTTATGGTTAGCTACATGAAACAGTATCTGCTTAAAAAAAGAGAAAGTGAAAAAATGTGTAGTTTTTTTAAAGTAATTTTTTCCAAAAGAGTGTAACTTTAAATTGTAATATCCAGTTACTTCTCTCTTTTAATCGTGCGAAGGAACTGATGCTTGCAGGTTATATGGGAGGAGGGCATTTGAATGGATGGACTTTGCTTATGTTAAGTTTAGTCTTGCTGGAAATATGCGCATCTACTATCTCCCCCTTTTTTGCTCTAAAATTAGAGGGGAAAATGAAGTAAGTAGCGTTTAAAATAAATGAGTTAGTGATTTTTATTTACTAAAAATAATTGTTGTTTGTTCTACAGTTGCGTCCTGCTTGAATATCATATCTATAAATGCTGAGTCAGTTAAATCTCCTGACAAACTGTAGAGTTCTGCATACTTTCTGTTATATGAAAAGTAAAGGTTTCGATCATACAGTTGAACAGTGCATTCCTAGGGGCTGACTTAGGACATTTTATCTCCCTTCAGAAGAGTTCTTCATTTCCATTGCCACCTGCAGATGTCCGTAGAACTTCAGCAATTGCATGGGTTTTAATGCAAGAGAATGCATCTAAACTTTAATGCATGGATATTGGCATGTATTTTTATATCCCCTAGGTCAGGATATCAGTGGAACAAAATCCCTTGCTTTTGCAAGCATTAATAAGTTTTGGTAACCTGCATTTTATTTCATTTTTTTTTTTATACCACGAACTTCTGTTCATGTTTTTTCCCATTAAAGTATTCTTGGTGGAATTGCCACTACGAGTCCAGATAACCTAACCATTATTTAAACAGCTGTCATTTAGCTTTCAATAATGCAGTACAGCTACTTCAAACTCCCAGGGATAAAATTTGGTACTCTGGACCAGTGGGGTGTATTTTATGTATTCCAGCTTGTAGTGGTAAAGCAAACTGCTCATCTTGTCTTTGATCTCTTTCTGACCAAAAAAAAGTTCTCGTTCAAACTATGTACTGAGATCTTCCTTTTTAATCTCTTCTATGAAAGCCATTGGTCAGAGATGAAACACGCTTTAAATGCGGATGTGCATGGATTTCTTTGCCAATAGAGACAAGCCCTGTGGAGGAAAAGAAACAGCGCCTCCCCTGCTCACCCCCATACATGAACCAGAAACCCTGTCAACAGTTTCTTTATGACAACAGCTTATGGGTGAGAGGTGGGTGTGTAAAAATGTTTTTCACAACCACTCAAGGCAAGACTTCCCTTCTAGGTTTAGCTCATCTTGCAGAGGCTCTTCTTGTAGCTATTGGGGTAGCTGAGAAATCCTAGCCAAGCTGCCTGGTGAGTATGGATCATAAAAGCTTCTAGTACAGAAGAGGTGATTATTCTGAAAGAGGCAGAGAAATAATGCCTGAATATCGCTTGTTGCTTTTTTCTCCTCCTCATATTTTGGGTTTTTGTCCAGCAGTTTAAAGACTGGCACTAACTGCTTTATTTTGTTACTCCTAGGTTATTTACTGCTCATTTGGGGGAACATCCAAAGGACTATATTTCAATAACCTGATAGTAGGTTTAGTCCTGCTTACAAGAGGCAAAGAAGAAGAGAAAGCAAAATGTAAGTAACAGCCTAACAAATGTGTATAATAATATAGAATATATGAAACATGCAATTTTCAGTTGCCATATATTCAAGAAGTGCATTTGTATTTTAATATGTAAACTCGGAAACATTCAATTAGCTAATAAAGGTGCAGTGTAATCTAGTGTCCTATTAACTGAAATTTCAGTTAAAAAACATTTTTTAAATGGTGCATCTTGGTACACATTCAGGATGTTTGGGTTTTACGGTATTCAGTGAAATGAACTGATCCAATGTCACATAGTGAATAGAACTATTTGGCTGCTGAGGATTTTCTGTGTATGCTTTGGGAAGAGTAGGACAAAGTTATGTTTTTGTTCTGAGGATGTTTTTTTAAAGAGAGTGAAAATATCTTCTGCACAGGCTTTTGTTTGTCTTCCTTTTTATGCTGACCTATTATTTGCTTTTTCTTTGGCTAGGAAGTAGTAGTATAATGAAAGACTTATTAATGTAAACCCTTGAGTTATACCACAGCTTAGTGAAATGAATCTAAATAAGGCTCATGCTTTGATTACTACGCAATTTTTGGCACTCAGATTTCCAAACATCAAGTTCAAACTTTTATAACAGTAATTTTGTTATGCTTATGTAGTTTAATCTATCCCTTTCACCCAGATATTTTCAGTCTCTTTTCCAATGAATCTGGAAGCTATGTCGTCCGGGAAGAGATGGAGAGGATGCTTCACGTAGTTGATGGCAAAGTCCCAGATACACTCAAGAAATGCTTCTCTGAGGTATTTCATAGTTTTTTAACCTATTGAATTTATACCACTTGAACATTTTCCAGCTTTGAACAAATATTTATTTTCTTTGGCATCTCCTTACTGCATGTGTTTAAAAATGGAGGTAAAGGTGTTTATACAGGGTTTAAATTCTAAATGTTAAGTTGTGAACCTATACATGGAGCTTTTGCTGATAATACTATCAGGTAGGTATATAGGCATTTCTCTCACTGTGTCCCTGAACTTCCAAATGCCTAGAAACATGCTTAATTTCATATGCATGTTTGTAGTGGATCAGTACCTGATGTTAAGATCATCCTAATGGCTATAATTTAAACATACGTGTTGTTAGCAGGGTTTTCTCAGCATGTACAGGCAGAGTGTAGTGGTATAATCTTTTGAGGTTAGTGATATAATAATATTATTTCTAATACATCTTTCAGAGACGGTATCTGTTCAGAGCAATCAAAAACAAAAAAGCCTGCTAAGTGCGCTAATTTAAAAATAGTTGCTTCAGCATGGCTCAGATGCTGCTTGAGAAGAAGAGACCAAATATACCTGTATGGGTTTATTATAGAAATACAGACTCTGTGACCGAGGTTTTGTCACAAAATGGAGCCATCAGTGCACTTGTACTAAACAGGCTTATTGCATCTGAAATGAAGGAAAGTATTGGTATTCTCCTGGTAAATGAACAGCACAGAATTATGGAGTGGGTGGGGGGGTATTGAAAAGAGCAGAGTATGGTTATTGATATTTATTTGAAGGGAAATAAGAAAAAGGTGGTTTACTGCAATCGTATGTAGCGTATTAGTGAATTACTGGATTTTTGTAGTATCTTGAATGTTTTCAAAAGATGAAGTCTTTTTCAAAAAAGAGAAACTGTGTGCTGTATATACAAATGAGAATGCTGGTCACCGTTGATTTACAGATGAGTGGCAGTTGTCATAGGTAGTTTACTTGCCTACAATGCTGACTATCATTTTATAAGTCTCAGATCCTTTTGCAGCTACACCCTGAGTAAACGCTGAACTTGCTGATATAGCCTTTGGCAATATTTAAAGTCCCTTTTAGGTGTGGGCCATTTACTACGTTGCATTTCACTCTTGATGCAAATATAACCCTTATTTCAAGAATTCAGCAGATTAACTTCTTTTCATTAAAAGTAGTGGCAGAAAGTAGCCGCACATCCCCTCTCATAAGTAAGAATTAGGTTTTAATGTCTTTGGTTTTTGACTTTTGCTTCCGGTACAGTGTAAATCTAAAGAGAGTTGCTTTTTGAAAGTTGATGGAAAGCACTCTACTTTTTGAAGCATTGCAGGCCATTAAAGAGGTGCTTTTTCAAAAACCAAACTAATTTCAAGTGCCTTTGAGAAGAAGTTTTTTAGTTGCATAGCTGGATATTGTCTTTCCCTTTGGAAACCTTTCTAGGCCAGCTTCAGAAATAAGCAAAGAGATAAAGAACGGATTTCTATTTAAAAAAAAAAAAAAAAAAGACATTGAAAACTAGCCAGTTCCCCTGCTGCCCCCACCATTAAGTTATTGAATATCTACCTTGGGAGCATAGCAGACCGTACATCAGAAGATGTTAAGCTGAAAACACATGTGGTGTTTGGCACAGCAGCTGTCATAAAGGGAGGAGGAAAAGGAAGCTTATCCTTAACAGTCCTATAATGTGAAATTTAACCAAGACAGCCTGATAAGGGCAGTCAGATTATTTTTGCTTCCCGTACCTTATTTCTAAAAGAAACACTTTGGTCTTACAGTACCCTTCATTCTCATAGTCAGTTCAGCATTAGGATTTATTGGACAGACTTCTGCCTTCATGAAGCTCTGCTCTCCACCCACTCACCCTGTTGCAGCTGATTCTGTTTTCTGCAGAAGACATGAATTATTACTAACCTCAAGACCTTAGTTAAATGAAGAACTTTCCATGTCACACAGGGTCTTCCACTTTCTGTCGATTGTAGCACAGCATGTTCTTCTAACAAGTACCAAATCAGTCTTGAGTTTGATGTGGAAGAACAGGCAAAGCTTTATTCATGAGACCCCATAATCTTATAACTTCTGAATTTAGTCAGAGCTATCAGCTTACTGCTTTTAGTTTAGATAACCGCCTCTCTCAAATAGCAGCTAGTCTAGACTGGAAGGGAAGAGCATGGTGTTTTATTCAGTCTGGGCTCTGATTTGTTGCGAGACCCAAGTTAGGCAAGTCTCTTAACCTATCTGCACTCATTTTACCTATTTAATCCACCATGCAAATGGTTAGACTTAATCTTTATGGAGCTTATGGAGATTCTCGTTTAAGAAGGGCTGTCTCCTCAGAGACTCTCCATTTCTAGTGTTCGCTATTTATAAATGGTCCATCTATATAGCATGATGAAATATATGCTAAAAATGAATTTCATGCTGGTCAAGAGACTCTAAGGTACTTAATGGAGATGTTCCAGGAGAAAAATCTGTCTCATTTGTTACAGTTTTCTTGTCTTACTAAAATGTCCTATATTGATCTTCTTTTGAAATGAAAATAGAATGTAATAACCCTCTCAACAGCATTTACTAGCCTGTTCATCATACTAGGTCATTTTGATATTATGCTCTGGGTAAGAAGAAAGTTTTATGTTCCTGCTGTAGGCCTTCCTCCTTGTTGTCTGGCCAATGAGTTTACAGTTTCAAGGCTGGTATTTATAGGGGCCTTTATTCTTTTCTGCAGAATTATTACATGTACTTAACTAGAAATACGAGCTGGAAGATGCACCTGCTTTTTTCTGCTGTTTCAGAAATGCAGAAAACAGATTAACTGGTGATGTCTATATTGTTGTATTTGCTTAAATATTTTGGATTAAATTCTATTGGGTCAGTATCGGATGTTTTACTTGCTTGGTTTTCGCCTCCCATCCTAAACCTTATTGTATTGCATTGAATGACTTTCTTGTTTCCCTAAGTAACTGGAAGATACTTAATCATCTTTACCTTGGACTTCATCTTGGCTTCTACATATTATTAGCAAGTGTCAAATCATATGAGTGCTTAAATGTGGGTTGCCTGATTCCATTTTGCACATCAGGGTTGCAGAGATAAATTCAGTGTAATAGTCTGTCTTGTCTTCTGTTGTGAAATTCCACTTGAGAAGAGGGAATTCGGCTATGAAACATTCACTTCTGACAAGCAAACTGAATGAAGGATGCTTAAAAGAGGCTAATTTAGAGCTAGGTAGTGGTGTTTCCTCCCCCACTGTGAATGAAATGTTATCAAATGACTGCTAGCATTATAAAAGAACTGTCCATCTTTGATCCTGGATACCCACTTGAGTGGATCTTTCTTGGCTATTTAATTTTAATTTTTTGTAGAAAACAAAAACTCTTTATGTTCACATTCATTCTTATAGTAAACTGAAGAACAGAATCTGTCCCTTACAACCGAGAACCCCAGAGGGGACTTGGTCTCAAACATAGATAACACTTAAAGTATTTGTGTACCGTATCAATATTACTGGCATCTCAAACTCTACTGCCTATCCCAAGATTGTTCAGGGTGTAACACTTATCTAACTTGGGCCGATGCCCAATGACTTGAGTTTGAAAACTATTTTAATATTTCTGGGGTGCACGTATAACTATAGAACAACATATTTTGTTTCATTTCTCTTCCATCCATCTTCATCGAAGTGTTGAGGGCAGTGGGGAGTTAACTATTTATATGTAGTTAGAGGCAAAACTCAGGTAACGAGATTCAGGTTTTTTCAGGTTTTTTTGAATATTCCTGAGGGTGTCGATGTAATGCCCTTGAAATGTTTTCCTTTTATTGCTTCTCATCTTCAGAAAGAAGACAGGACATCTTTTGTCTTTTTTCCCCTACTTCCTTCTTAAAACCGTAATACGGTGTGTAGTAATTTCCAATAGCATTTATTTTAAAATTATGCAGATATTCAGATGATCGTGTCTCAAGCTTTTTTTCCCACACTTTTAATCACAACCATTCAGCTTGTTCATGACATGCTGAATTTGTTCTCACTGCATTGGCAGTAAAAGGTGATGCAGAAGAGCCACAAAATGCGTTGGAGGGCTGGAGAAAAATCATTACAATGAGAGACTGAAGGAGCCCATTCTGATTAGATTATCAAAAAGGAGGTTAAGGTGATTTGATTGAAATATAGAAGTATCATTACAGGGAGGAAGTAATGAAGACTAAAGGGCTCTTTAATCTACCAGAGAAAGGTATATAAAAACAGGGTCTGTAAGATGAAACCAGACCCTTTTTAGTTGGAAAATAAAGCGCACATTGTTAACAGTGAGGGTGATGCACCAGAGGAAGTGATTTGATTCTCTTGTCTCTTGATGGTTGAAAGCTGGGTGCCTTTCTGGAAGAAGCTTTCGCCCAATACTAGCTATTGGGTTGAGTATAGGGATGAAATGTAATATGTGACCTACCAACGGCTGGATGCAATAACCTAATGGTCCCTTCTGGCCTTTAAACTCTTAAAATTTCCAAAGAATCACTGGAAAATGTTGCGTTTCTGGGCAGATACTTGTCTGCCTTTTTTACGCGTGCACACCCCCACACTCCCAAAAAAGGCCAGGGCTGACAGATGGGAATCTGGTGATACACTCGGCGTGTGCGGGTGGCAGTCTGTAACATGCAGGTGTGTCTTCAGCAGCAGAATGCTCCGAGTTCATATGCTGTGAAGATTACTAACAGCCATATACACAAAACACAGATGCACAAACTTACCTGCTTGAAAACATTTTGGGTAGTGTGAATCAACTGGTAACTAATTCCCCCTTTAACTATTTCTAGTAATAAACTAGTTTAAAAGTATTTGACACTATACTAGTAACATAGCTGTTGATTGTTTTATTGTCAGTGAATTGTTAGTTTTTAATCTTTGTGCCAGTAAGGCATCCTGGATTTGGCCTGCTTTATTGTCATTACAGGACTCCATGTTAGGGGTGTCTGCGTAATCAGGTTTCAACTTGAGTAACGATATTCCATTTATCAGCATCTTCCCTGCAATTTCACTGTTAATATTCAACTTCCTTTCCTGCATTAAATTGTTTAGTGTTTCTATAGGCATAGTTATCCAATTGTGTTTCATGTTAGAAGTGGTTGCACTTGAGTGAAAAATGTAATGATCGTTAGGATGTAGGTTGTACTTGTACATATTTGTAGGACTTGTAGGTTGATTTGTACATATATTGCCACACATTTTCTGAGCACTGGGTTTACGTAACTTTGTGCTGATTATCCTGATGCCCATCAGCTGCAGGTGTCCCAATGGTACGATTAGTATTTGTTCTCAGTTCTCCACTGTCAAAGGGCTTTGTATGCTTGATTGCGTGGCTGTCACGGGGAATGCATTATAATTTTATGATGCGTCTAATCTGGGGATTTTTCAGTTTTATCAGCCAAAATAAAACTGGTTAAGATGGATAAACATTTTGAGTCATAGGGAAGTTTCAGTCCCATTTTACTGAGAACCCATGCCTTAGTTTCTGTAAGCACCTCTCCCCAGACCGCACTAAGTGGCAGAGCTGAGAATAGTAACCCAAGTACTCATTTCCCAGTCCTGTGCTTATTTCAGGGCAGGATGGAAGAATTGGCTTGGTTCCCTATAAATTGCTTCAGCACCTGATACGTGGTTGCCCTACTTCTCGTTCATGCAGCTGACTGGTTCATGTTTCTACTGCTGCAGGAAGAACGAATGACGACTTGCTCAATGTTCCTTTATTTTTATTGTAGGGTGAAAAGGTAAACTATGAAAAGTTTAAGAACTGGTTATTGCACAACAAAGATGCTTTCACATTTTCCCGTTGGCTGCTGTCTGGAGGAGTGTACGTTACACTCACGGATGATAGTGACACCCCTACCTTCTATCAGACTCTGGCTGGAGTCACGCACTGTAAGTAAATGCTGTTTCTTGCTGTGAAAATTGTTGTTTTTCTTACAGCCTGTGCTTTTGCTATTGATTTTGTAAAACTGAACTTCTGCCTCTGATCGTTCAGTAAATCGCAGCTGTTTTACCCTCTACTCTGTTCTGCTGAAGGAGGTCATCTTGTTGTCCATGCAACCTTTTTAAAATGTTTTTCTTTCTACATTTCTCCTTGTGGTATTTCACTATGCATAAGTAATTTATTAGGCAAAACAGTATGAGATCACAAGATGCGTTTTAATTGAAGTAGGCAGCTAGCAACATTTTTCATGTTACAAAAAAATATATAGCTATCTTCCACTTGGCAGACTCCATTACCCTTTTTCTAATGAAGTTAAACAAAAAGACGTATTAATTTTGTCTTTTGTGTAGCAAATATCACAATTATCAATGCACATCTGAAACTAGTCTTTGTTCCATCGAAAACAGCAGTGGTACAGCTTAATATTTTTGTTTTTCTTTAGTGCAGTGAATAGTCTTTCTGATTCTTTTTATCTTACATTTAAACTAGGCAGAATGAAACGTTGTCAGTATTTGCTTATAGAAATGGTTTCCAAAGGAAAGTTGTAGGTGAAATGCTTTCTTGAGTCTGTATTGTAGTAGTATGCCAAGCCATTGTGAGGATGAGGATATTGGCTTTGGATCATCCTGGTCCCAATTAGGTTAAAATCTGCTTCATCTCAGCCATTTTACTTAGTTGTCCAAAGCTCCCTGTTTTCCTTGTTCAACCTTTGAGTTTATTGTCTTCCTCAGGAAGCAACCTCTTGCTTTGCCCAGTGTTTTTGCTTTACTGTTAGCTTTGATGATCATGTTGGCTTGCTTGCTATCTTGACTGAAAGCATTAACCTTGAAAGCAACTCAGTCCTTGCCTGTTATAAACAAAAGACACTCTTATGATTTGATATCTTGTAGATTAGAAATACCGGTAAATTTGACAGGTGTTGGTTTTCCATCCTCAGAACGCCAAGGCTTTCCCTCTATTTTATATGTTCACATCTATTTGCTGTATTTAGTCAAATACAAGATGAGAATTTTTTCCCCCAATTGTGGGGGGGAGCCCCCTTGTCTTATAATCACATACAATGAAATCTCACTAAATCCATTGTCTCATTAAACATGCCAAAGCAACATGTGCACAGCAAGAGAAACCAAATATGAAGTTGATTGAATGCAGTCGACACTGAGCATGACTATAAAACGCATGTCCCACATTGGGCAAACGTGCTGATGGGAGTCTACCACAATAGGCTAGCGTAGCCCATCTGAGTAAGACACATGGTAGTGCCCCTCGCCACTGATTTCTTTTTTCCAGTCTCGGTAAGCTGTGACATTGCATAGAGTTCACCAAGAATCCCTCTCTTGGCCTGACTCATATGATTAGTTGTGGCCCCACCCTCCACGAGGTGAAGCTGGGCCAAATTGCCCTATGCCTCATCTGCATATAAATTTTTGGAGCATCCTGGTTCTAGTCCTGGTGGGGGGCTAATTAGTACATGGATCCTTTGTGGGGGGTATCTGGAGTACACACGCATGCTGAGCAATACTGAGCTGTGGGGTTACCATGGCTTGAAATGCTGTTGACTCTGCTGGGGCCCAGCCCCATGAACTGTCTGATATAAATCATGAGCCTTTGGCTTTGAACCAACATCATGCATAGTTTGTACTATGTACAAGTAGGTGCCAAAGTGTTTAGAGGTGTGTTTATGGGAGTACCTGTGCTAAAACTTGCAGCAGTTTCAAAAAAAGGTAGCATGCATCAGTTCTGGATGAATTAAGTGCATGGGTAGTATATGCAAATAGCTACAGCCCAGTTGAATTTCAAGGTTATACTTTTTTTTAAATTTACTCTTTGCTTCCATGTGTTCACAGAGAGCAGGGTTTACAGGAGAGAGGGAAGGGACTGCCAGGGGAAAAAGTTGGGGGAGGGGAGCGGAAAGCAAAGGACTAACTGATTTCCCCCCTTGTCGTCCCCCCCCCCCCCCCATTTTTTTTTTTTTCTTTAACAGGGG